AAAAAAAAAAAAAAAAGAAAAGAAAACCAGTCAAACCAGCAAATGTAAAATAAATCTAAATTTTCTTTGCACTATTCACAGAGCGCCAAAGAGGATCTAATTCATGTTTCAGAACATACCACACTTGCTAAAATCCCGCAATACCATGAAAGACTCATGAAAACTCCAGGCTCCTAACTACAAGACATCACTGTGGATCATCCAAATACAGCAAGCCCCAATCTTAGGACAGGAATGAGGCATGAATGGCCTCTGTGCTAATAATCTAACCTAATGCTGAATTTGTTATTTCCCCTCTGAATCCACTTGGAGATTTCCTTTATATCTGATTTGAAATAGAGGATATATACTCCTCTATCCTTGACATAGGAGATAATACAAAGTATTTCATTGTAGTATCAAGTACACATCCTGTTCTGTGTCCATAGGATTATGACTAATTTAGGGCACAGCTTAACAGTGTGGTACTATTGAATGACAGACAGATATCTGTTTTGTTGGATGCAGGACAAGCCATGTAACCTCCCTAGACTTTAACGTCCTCTCTGTAGAATGGAATAAAAATACCATGTGGGATTGTTCCGATAATCAAATGAGTTAATTCAGGAACAACCCATGTGAATTACAGGGCTTTCCTGGGTTCCGTCTTTCCTTGTATCTCTCACAGAGCCTCAAAGGAGATGCAGTCCATGACCTAGAGAAACACTCATGACAACTTCTCTTATCCCCAATTCCTTTCTTGCTCCAATGGTAATGCCACTCCTGTCATTCTGAAGTCTCTTGTTTTTACCACCACATCCGTTTTGCCAAATTTTCTCCAGTATTCCAAATCATACTAACCCTTCCTTCCTTCCTTCTTTCCTTCCTCCCTCCCTCCCTCCCTCACTCCCTCCCTCTCTCTCTTTTTCTTTTTCTTTCTTTCTTTCTTTCTTTCTTTCTTTCTTTCTCCTTCCTTCCTTCCTTCCTTCCTTCCTTCCTTCCTTCCTTCCTTCCTTCCTTCCTTCCTTCTCTTTCCTTCTCTTTCTTTCTCTCTTTCCTTCTTTCTTCTTTCTTTCTTTTTCTCTTCTCTTCTTTTCTTTTTGAGACACAGTCTCTCTCTGTCGCACAGGCTGGAGTGTAATGGCACGATCTCAGCTCACTGCAACCTCCACCTTCTGGGTTTAAGCGATTCTCCTGCCTCAGCCTCCTGAGTAGCTGGGATTACAGGCGCCACCGCCATGCCACGCTAATTTTTGTGTTCTTAGTGGAGATGGGGTTTCACCATGTTGGCCAGGATGGTCTTGAACTCCTGACCTCAAGTGATCCACCTATCTAGGTCTTCCAAAGTGCTGAGATTACAGGCATGAGCCACTGTGCCCAGCCCTGCAGTTTCTTTGTGATGACAATGAGCTGCTAGTTTGAGTAAGAATCAAACTAAATTATCTTTATGGGTAGAGACAATACAAATAAGATCAGAAAGCTCACTCATCCATACACGTGTCTTTCCACCCTTGTAATGTATTTATTATTATTGCTGGTGCATACTAGATTCCCCATAAATAGGGACAGCTATTATGATATTTTTATTTCAGGAATAATAATAGTGATGATCTCCACCATTATTGTCAAAGGACAAAGCACAAAATAAGTACCAAATAAAATGTAGCCATTATCCTTTATTCACAAAAGATCTTGGCCCCACCTCTTCTCAATGAAATGTCCATGACTTGTTCAACTTTGGCAACTCTGGGCTGAGACGATAGAGGTTCTCTTGTGAGCTAAAGTCACGCATCTAAGGTGGAAATCCTTTCCCTCCCTCTGGCTGGCTGAGGGATAGCCCAGATGGTGTCATCATGAAAGTTTCCCATGTTTCCATTTCTAGATCTACCATCTTCCCCTCCCCTACCTCTCACCCATCATAATAGTCCTTCTTTACTCTTTCCTCCCTATCTGCAGGTTATAACCATCGGTACCAGACCCCTGCCACCAGCAGTGAGTATTCAAAGCTGTGATATTCCAATGGCCTTGGGATCCTTCCTCCCCAAGGTGCATTCCTCAGAAAAGAAACTGATCATTCCCCTCCCTGCGGGCCCAGCCACAGCCTCAGAGCAGCCCCTAACCCATCAAGGTCTTGGTGTGAGTCAAGATAGAAGCCCAAATACCAATTAGCAGTTCCTGTGCCACATGCCTTTAGGAAGACACCCAATCATTTTTCCATGTTCTTTTTTTCTCAGCTCCAGTGACTTCTACATTCTCCCCAGGGATTTCCACATCCTCCATCCCCAGCTCCACAGGTAGGAAGCTCCTCTCTGGCTTCTATGAAATTTAACACTGCACGGTCTGTTCCCTGCTGACCACCCAGCCTCAGCCTGTTCCACTCTCCCTCTCACTCTCTAATTTTTTTTCTTTTTTCTTTTTCTTTATTCCTTTTTTTTTTTTTTTTTACATGGAGGCTTGTTCTGTCACCCAATCTGGAGTGCAATGGCGTGATCTCAGCTCACTGCAACCTTCGCCTCCCAGGTTCAAGTGATTCTCCTACCTCAGCCTCCCAAGTAGCTGGGATTATAGGCATGCGCCACCATGCCTGGCTAATTTTTTGTATTTTTAGTAGAGACAGGGTTTCACCATGTTGGCCAGGCTGGTCTCGAACTCCTGACCTCAGGTGATCCACCTGCCTCGGCCTCCCAAAGTGCTGGGATTATAGGCATGAGCCACCACTCCTGGCCCACTCTCTAAATTTTGACCATCCCAGGTACTTGAGTGGTATTCTAGCACCCTAACTTCTGTCCAGCCTCGGGAGTTTTGCACTAGCAATTCCTGGAGACCAGTTATGGTTGGTATCTTCTCAACTTTCTATTTTTTTTATTTATTTATTTATTTATTTTTTTTTTTGAGATGGAGTCTCACTCTGTCACCCATGCTGGAGTGCAGTGACACGCTCTTGGCTCACTGGAACCTCTACCTCCTGGGTTCATGCAATTTTCCTGCCTCATCTGGAAATTTTCTCAGTGGCCAAGATTGTGCCACTGCACTCCATCCTGGGCAATGGAGTGAGGCTCCACCTCAGAAAAAAAAAAAAAAAAAGATGGAAGTTGGGCATTCCTAACCCTTAACCCTGCCTTGTGATTCTAGAGTTATTGGATAGAACCTGGTGTCCTGTAATTTAAATTCTGCCTTCCGGCCTCCTGTTTTGTGAGTCACAATACTGCAAACTTTTTACATGCTGTAGACAGGATGTTCACTCTCCACTTCCTCACTGCTCTGCCCTAATCAATTCAACCATTTATGTGACATGCCTAACTCCTCTGGGCTTGTACATATGTAATGTGTATTATAAAGCAAGTCATTCCATGAACAATGATGTCACTTTTTCTAGGTGCTTTCGAAATTTGTTCTTCATCATTAATTTTCAGTAGTTTGATTACGATGTGTCTGGGCATGGTTTTCTTTGAGTTTATCCTGCTTAAAGTTTTCTCAGCTTCTTGAGTCTCAAAGTGTTTGTTTTTCAAGAAATTTGGGAAATGGTCTAAGACTATATCTTCAACTTTGTTTTCTGCTCTGATTCTTTCTCCCCTTCGGACCTCCAATGAAATGATGTTGCCCCAAGAGACCCTGAGGTCCTGTTCATTTTGTTATTTATCAACCTTTTTTTCCTCTCCAACTTTCAGGTTTAATAATTTTTATAGAATATTTTCACAATCACCAAGCCTTTTCTCTGTCAGCTCCATTCTGCCCGTCCACTGAATTCTTTTTATCTCAGTTACTTTATCTTCCAGTTCGAAAGTTTCTATTTGGTGATAGATAGATAGATAGAGAGATAGAGAGATAGATAGATAGATGATAGATAGATGTTATAACATATATATTATATATTATGTTATATAAAAATATATTTATGATTATAATGTAACATATATGTTATATATAGCTATTTATATAGCCATAACTATATATAAAGTATATATAGTTATATATAACCATATATAGTTACCATATAGTAACCATATATAAAACACATAGTTACTTATATAGTGTCTCTCTATATAGTTATAGTTATATATATGGTTATAGATAGAGTTTCTATATCTATAACTGTATATGGTTATATATGTATGTTTCTCTGTATATAACTATATGTATTTCTATATCTATAGTTATAGAAACTATATATATAACTGGGAGATGCTGGGGAAAGATGGCATGAGGAAGCCTGGAGCAGTCATGGTCATCCCCGCTCCGCGCCGAACTCATCAAGAACAGGAGAAGGGTCCTCCTCATTCTCCAGCCATGTTGACCTTGAGCAATTTACTTACCCTCTCAGTACCTCAGTTTTCTCACCTGCCAAGTGGGGACAATAATATTTCATAAATTGGTTGCAAATGTTAAATGCAACTCTATGTAAGAACACCTAGCACGGGGGCTACCAGGGAATTTGGTTTAACAAATATTTATCAGGCACCTATTCTGGGCTAGGCAGAGGGGATAAGATGTTGATTAAGTCAAATGCAGTCCCTCCCCTCACCAAGTTTACGGTGTATTGGGGAAGACTGAAATGGAACAAGCAATTACAATTAACAATAAAAGACAACCAAGTTATTGAGCACTTACTATATGGCATACCATGTGCTATTTTTTTATTTTTAACTTTTCATTTTGAAATAAATAATAAATATAATAAAATAAATAATAAATAATATAAATAATAAATAACTTTTCATTTTGAAATA